CCGTGCTCAGGCTTCAGCCTCACCCCTCCACGGGCAGCTGAAGCCCGTGACGCCAAGGCAGAGGTGTGCCTCTTCGCTAAGGCTTTGCTGCTACAGGAGTCTCTGTGGGGCCGATGTGTCCCAGCCCGGCTGCCTGCTCCTCATACGAGCAGGACGCATTGCCCTGTAGCCCCCAGGGGGCTGGTGCCAGCGAGGGCACACCACCAGGAACCAGCAGCCTGAGCCGTCTCAGTCCCTCTGCGCCCACGCCGTCGGGCCTGTGGGGCCATTTCATCACCCTTCCCGTGGCTGTTACAGCGGGGCGGCTTCCCAGCTCTTCAGCAGAGACCAGCAGCCCGAATTTCTCCAAGAACAAGCACCCTGTGTCACGGGGCTGCTGACTGTAAGGTGTTAGGTATCGTCCCCTCCACAGCGGGCCGTGTCTGAGCTTGGCACAGCATCAGCACAGTGGCATCACCGACACAGCGCCTGCTCCGAAAATCCTGGGATGAGCAGCATCTGAGCAACACGGCAATATCAAGAAATAACGCTGAGCACACGCAAAGCTGCTCAGTTGCTTTGCTGAATTTGCCCACGTTCTCTCTTATCTGCCACACGTCCTGTCCCACGCTATCCCTGATCCCGGAGGTTACTCCCAGGGAGTATTTTATTCCTGTGCTTCACCTGTTGATAACATAATACATCTGAAATAACTAGAACCTAGCACATATGTGTACATATATATGAAATAAATAAAAGCTTTGTGGTGTAATTGCAGTACCAGGTAAGTTTTAAAGTCTCACTCTTCTGCCCCTAAAATCCACATTCCCTGTTCTCATACAGCACGCAGGGAACGGACTGCCTAGAAAGAGAGACTGTTGGCAGTTCTACGCTCTGCTCCTGGCTCTTTCAAAGATTTCCTGTGTGACCTTGTTAAGAACTTGTGACATTTACTTCATAAATAACAGTAAGTCTGGAAAGTAGAAAACTACCCTTATGCCTTTACAATTTATAAAGTCAACATCTCCACTGCAAAGTACTCTCACCTACTTGTAATGGAGAAAATACAAACGTTCAAAAAGACGAGGAAGTTTAACATGCACATTGAAGGAAAAATGCTATGTATTCCTTACCTGACAAGTCCGTACTCTTTACAGTCAGCTCATAGGTTAAATCTGAGGAAAAAAAAGTTATTTTTTTTAGAACAACATCATTTCTGTTAGAACAAAAGATCATTTTGTTAGAACCCCATCTGGATGGGGCCAAACTCTTTTCAGTGGAGCCCAGCAACAGGAACAAGGGGCAACGGGCACAAACTGAAGCAGCTCCAGCTGAACACGAGGAAGAACTTCTTCCCTCTGAGGGTGACGGAGCCCTGGCACAGGCTGCCCAGGGAGCCTGTGGAGTCTCCTTCTCTGGAGATATTCCAGACCCGGCTGGACGCGGTGCTGTGCAGCCTGCTCTGGGTGACCCTGCTTCGGCAGGGGGGTGGGCTGGGGGACCCACAGAGGTTCCTTCCAACCCCAAACATTCTGCGATTCTGTGATCATCTATGCCATACAGCACCTGGTGAGCATGCTTGCAATGGCATACCTCACTAAAATTACAACTAACTCTTCCCCCCACCTAAAGAAGTAACAGGAGATCCACTGCAAATTATCCATTCTGTAAAACAGCTATAACTATCAGGTGACAAAATGCTTTTTTTCTTTTTTAAAAAAAGAAGTATCTTTGCTTAATGATCACACAGTTGCACCCCGAGGTACCTGCTGACCACCCTAAAAATACCCTGGGGGTGACCTTTGTTGCTGAGGCTTCACTGCTGAAGTAGGGAGCTGTTACTCTATCCTTGCGAGAAGAACTCGCACCCTCGTCCCCCCGCAGCTACCTGTGCAGTGCTGCTGCAGGCGGCGGATCTCAGCGTGCAGGCCTTTCAGCGTGTTGGCATGCTCTCGCTGCAGAAACAGCAGGTTCTTCTGGGCACTCTGCAGCTGGTTCTCCAGGTTTGGAGTCGCCATCCTGACGTGCAGTTACCCTGCCAGTGAAAGGAGGACCTAAAGGGGTGGTCTTGTTGCCCATACACTCCCGTCTCTCACTCGACAGCCAGGTTCGGCAGGAATACCTGAATTTACCGGGAACGAACCGATAACGCGGTCAACCAAATGCTACAGAAGGTTTTTCTGTTTCATGACCGTTTCAGTTGGGAGTCTGTAAGTTCATAGAAAGCCTAATTATACTCTAGGCCACAGCAGCGCAGGGAACTCACTTGTTTGGAGTTAACGCATTTAAAGGATTAACTTCAGACAGACCGAGACAGTAATCCTGTTACAAGATAAAAGTGGAGTTCTGAGAAATGGGGTAGTATGTGTCTCTGTCTCGTTGCGGGTTTTCCACTTACCCCCAGGGATGCAGGAATCAGTGACATCCCTGGACAAGAACATGGAAGAAAGCACTAAGCCGCACCATTCCTACTGAGAAACGTGAACCAGGGAGTCTGACAGTGCCAGGCCCAGCGATACCGTCATGGACGCGGCTGCTGCGGGGCCCTCGGCTGAGAGGCCCTCACCGGGACCGGCAGGAGAGAAAGCTCTGGCTGCTGCTCGCTGCCACCGCATCTCCCCAGCTGTGCTAGTGCAGGGATCCTGTACCCCGCGCAGGCCCACACGGCCCCGGTGACGTGGAACACGACGATTGACAAGGACAATGTTTTGTTTCTAGAGAAAATGAGCAGATTTCTTTTGCTTAGGTTACGAGTGCATGGAAAACTGTTACACCGCTGGGTTTTCCTTGTGGAACAGCCTTGTAAAAATAGGCCTTGACTACAGCAGCGCACAGACTCAGATAAAGATACAGCTGGTTAAATGTACGATACTGGAGGCATCCTTGAAGAGCCCTGCACTGCCAGTGTTCCTGCTGCTCCTGATAAGGCAGCCACGGCTTTACGCATACCCACAGGCCAGTCTGCCGCGAAGCATCTGTCTGGCAGAGCTGCAGACACAGACTCTCCAGTGAATTCCCTGCTGCAGAGGTAAAAATAGCTCCTCGCACCAGGCACAGCCCTGGGCTCTCTGCTGCGACATTTCAAGGCGTACCTGGAGGAGCAACCAAAGAAGCACAAACAGGAGTTACCAGGTCCCTCGTGCTATCTAGTCACCAGCTCTGTCACGACACGATTTTGTTTATTGTCCTGTTTCCTAGTGAAAATAAGTGTACTGATGAGAAAGAACAGCGATGACAGTATGCAATCCTCCTGCAACCTCAAAGCACAAAATCACCCAGGCATATTCTTAGCAGTTCCTGAAAGTCACCGTGTGATGGCTGCCCCTCCCTGCACACACACAGAGCGCGCAGTGCTGCTACAGCCAGGCAACATGGTGCTGCTCCACCTACAGCTGGTTTATGGCGGCTGCTGGGTCTACAGGAGAAGAACTTTCCAGAAACATATATCCTTAGTAACTCCACATTGCTCCACTTTAAATTTCTTACCAAGAAAGCTGTCCTGCTTGGGAAGCTTTCTGAAAACCCTGGGAAGTCAGCTGCCTTCTTGGGCAGCTGAGGAGCACAGAGACAGCACAAAAATAGGTGCACAGACAAGATCTGGAGAGCCAGGCTAACGGGGACACGGGAGTGACAGGCAGCAGCATATATTGAGTGGGAGTCACACAAGCCACAGTGGGAGAAACAATTTCTGGGGGCAGAGCAGCACAGGGAACTCTGTGAGAGCCCCTGCTCTGCCCTGTCAGGGCTGGGAGCCACAGCAGCCCTGGCCTGCTGCCGAGCAGTCCAGCCAAGGAGGAGCGAGACCCGTAACGTGGCTAGGATGCTGGGTTAAACACCACTGAGGCACAAAGAACGCTTGCTTCATCATTACTGTACTAAAGGCTAAAAATGGTTCTGTGTGGTTTTATAAAAACAATTACAGTACTTAGGTTACAAAGATAAGTGAAGAATCAGGACTCCCGTTGCTGGGACAACCATCTGCAATGGTACCACAGCCAGGGTCCGTAACTACAAGACCGCACGCTGTGCGTAAGACAGACCTCGATTCTGTCCCGCAGCTGCCTCACAGGCACCTTCACTGGCTCCTCTTGCCGTGTCAGGTGTTCTCCATTGGGCTCTTTTGGGTATGTAGTTTTAAGACAGAAATTTGATTCTGCAAGTTTAAAACAGGTAGAGCATACACTCGGGGAAAGTAACACACTTTGGGCGTTCCTAAACACAACACAGCCCTGCGTTTAATTTTATGCTTTTTACCCCCCAAAGGAACATCGGACCCAGCGCTCCTGCGCCTTGGTAAAACATTTTTGGGGGTAGGATAAATACAAACACACATGCACAGCGCCTTCCTGATTTCACGTGTGACCTTAACTGACATCATCAGCTGACTTCTCCTTACAGAAGCATATAGTTGATTATAAAATAATAAAGTGAAGGCATAAAAGACTTTCAAGGAATCCACTTCTGTGCAAGGGGCAAAACAGAGCTCCTGGTTACTTTATAACAGAGATCAAAGATTAAATCCAGTGCTCAAGAAGAATGAGGGTAACGGTGCCAACTTGTGCTTTGTCGAGTGGAACGGGTCACTTCACAATCACCATCATTAGCAAAGAAGCCAAAATTATGAACCAAAAAATATTCTAAGAGGAGGTTTCTGGGTTGGCTAAATAAGAAATAAACTGAGCTGTGCATACAGGTTCTTGCTCTATGGCTTCTGAAAAGCAGCCCATCTGAGTGGTGGCTCTCTCCGCAGCCTGGCAGCAGATGCGCTGGGACATCACCCCCCGCCGCCGTGGAACCCCCTGCCCGCAGCGGAGCACTGCGCAGTCCACAGCGATTGCTGCGGGGCACCAGTCATTTTGAAGACTGATAATATTTTAGCTGTGTTACATTTTCAAAGTGACATCATCTTGTTTGCAGAGCTGACTTCAGACAGACAGAAGCTTTCCCGACCCATCCCATTTCTGCAGTGATCACGATACCCGCAGAGTCCACGCCCTCACCACAGCCAGAGCTCAGCCTCAGCCCGCGTGGTACACCAAGGCTCACAAGGAATTTTTAATCACAAAATGTATTTTCTAATAGATGCTCTAGGCACTGACAGTGCTCGGTGACAGAACAGCCTACACACAATATCCCGAAGCCTTTACTATCACAATGGTTACCAACGGTGGCTTTACACCTGCGACTGATGTGAACACAGAAAGACTTCACCTCCAGCAACAAAACATAGGTGTTTATAACTCAGCTCTTGCAAATAAATGTGTTCTTTAAAAACTAGTTTCTAAATGTTAGAAAAAGCAAAACAAGGCTGTCACTATTAATCTCAGTTCTTTTTTCACCTTGATCTGTTGCATCTTCGAGATCACACTAGGATTACCTACTCTGAAGAAGAAAAAAGTAATCAGAGACAGGCTAGTTTTATAGGCTTAGGAAGAAAATAAAAATTATCAGCACCAGAACATCATCTCCCCTGCAGACTGGTAAGCTAATCAGTGGGAGCAATTAAATTAATCCACTACGAATGTTAGCTGCAGCCCCTCCTCGGAGGAGAAGGGGTCGGAGGGCTGACCTTCCCGCAAGCCTTCTGCAACCTTCCAGCACTTTTCCTCCTCGCTGCAGCCTTGCTGCCTGCCCGCACTCCCTCCTTTCCTTCGAGGGAAAGGGAAGGCCACCGCGGTGAAGCCACAGCTTCCACAGAACTCATGGGCAGCAGCTTCAGTTCAAACCCCATTCCCCCCCCGCAGTCCCCTCTCCTTACATACAAACACTGCGCAATCCGGGCACGTGTGCTCTGGGAAACAGCCGGAACCACCCACCGTAAGAGCAGGGGAAGGGGAAAGTGGCTGGCGTAGACAGTCGCTGTACAGAGACGCGTTTGCTATGAAATCTGCTTAGAGTTGTACAGATTGGTATTGGTAAGGATACATTCCAAGCCACTATTCACTTTGTGCCTATTTTACACCAGATCTAAACCACAAAATTAGGCCTAGAATTAGTAAAGACTGAGATCTGGATGAAACAGATTTCAACTGGATGTGTGTTATCTGTCAATCAAGCTCATGAGAACAGTATTAGATTGCTTTTGCAGCCAAACTTACAAGGAAATTGGTATCACTCAAATGAGGGACGAAAAACCCCCTCACACCTGCAGCCTGAATAGCTCCCAGACACCCACAGCTCACCTGCATTTCACCCAGTTCTCAGTTCAGCAATGCTTTTCCCTGTAGGAACTTTTTAGCCAGTGCCTAACTAAAACGCTGGCCAAACTGCCACAGCAGAAGCCAGCTAAAGAGAAAACTTTTATCTTTCTAGAATGATATCCGATTGTTTTATGTCCCTGGAGATAATACAGCTGAACTGGACACAAGAAGACCGACAATATGGATAGGCTATACAGTAACTCAGGCCAACAACCCAGGCAATTCGTCTGCTCCTGGGCAAGTTTACTAGGCAGACCATTCCAGAGATCAGAAACACGGGGTTAAAAGGAGGGAAAAGCCTCTCAGCATGACATCCCGGAGAAGCGCTCCTGAAAGCAGGACCTCAGGAGCTGGACACCCGTCGCACTCCCTCCAGGAAACACGGCCTTACTACTACCTGTCTCAGCAGGTGTGCAGTGCACTACGTACAAAACGCACTGTGCTTCACGCCTTAAACACTACTTAAACCGCTTGCACGCCTTCTTCTGATCTCTTCAGCTATGCCAGCAGGGGTTTATTTTATTTTTCTTGCTTTGCTGGTGGTAGCTTGTGATTTTGGAATTGTTTACTATACAAAAAATACTGCTGAGCTCAATAATGGCTTTTACCGAGAAATTACTCAAGAATCAATATGAAGGACTTCACTTCCCTATAGAGAATACTGACCGGCGCCACTCTTTAAAGACTGCTCTGGCAACCGTTCTGCTTTCAGGTCAGACTACAGCAGTATCATCAGACACCTGAATAAAGACCACCTTAAAGAGCCTGGAGACACCACGTGTGTTTTGTAACGGGACAGACCCTGGGAGAGAAGCAGACACCCTCCGGGATGCTC